TTTTGCCTGAAAATATTTCAAATGTTTAATCCAACTCGTAGAAACAGGATTTACTTAGACACATGTGTATTTAATGGCATAGAGAGGGTCCTTCCCAGGCTGTGGTGACTCCCACACCCTCCCATCTCCAGTGCCACAGACACATGAGAGGCCCATGCAATGGGAGACCAAAGAGCTCCCTTAAATTTCTCCAAGGAAATGGCCCAGAAGCATGCTGTTTTTCTACCAAGGACCCCAGGTATTCCGAGCCAAGTCGGCAGAGTGACTAGACAGTCTGCCAACTTCACAAACTACTCCGACATGAAAGGCACATGGATACCCTCAGACCCGTTTCCTACGATGGCTCCCTCTTGGAGTTTCAAAAAATATGCAAATTAGAGAGAGGATGATGAGTGTGTTCATGCAAGCAATTGACAGGGCAGCGTCCTCCATCCTCAGTGACAAGCGGCCTTAACTGACTTCCAGAAACTGTCTCCTCAGATAGCTGTGTTACAGAATTACTGCAGTCGCTTCCCTTGCTTCTCCTAGCTCTTCAGTGAAGAGTCCTGAGACTTTGTGAAGATCTCAGCTGGTCCCAGGCTTTAAATACCACGTGGACACCGATGGTCTTTGAACTAGTTCTCCAGACTCCTGACTTGATAATGTTTATTTGAATTGTCCCTCCCTCCCCTCCTCTCCCTCCCTCCCTCCCTTCTTCCCTCCCTCCTTCCCTCCCTCCTTCCCTCCCTCCCTCATGTAGCCCAGGCTGCCCTTTAGTGTGTCATGTAGTTGGTATGGCTTTGAACATCTGGTTTTCCTACCTCCCCCCACTGAGTACTGGATTTCAGGTGTATCATGCCTGGTTCCTCTAGCAGTGGTGATTAAACCTAGGGCTTTGCAAATGCTAGGCGAGCAGTCTACCAACTGAACTACAGCCCTGCTTCAAATTTGAATATTTTCAACTGGGTAGTAGGCATTTCTACATGGATGTCAGCTGGATATGTCACATTTAATATAGATGAAACTGAATTCTCAATCTTTGCTTGCCCTGTCAAACCTGTGCCAACCTAACTATCCCCATCCTGACTGTGGTAATTTCATCCATTCCTCTCACTTCAAAGACAATAATGCTTACAGTCATCTCGTCTACTTTCTTCTTTTTTGCATCCCACAACCTGTCCCTTGGATATCATGAAGGTTCTCCCTTAAAAACAGAATCCATTGCTTCTCACCATAACCACCACACTTTGATGCTAGCATCTGTTGTCTGGACCACGGAGACAGTCTCCTAGCATCTGTTGTCTGGACCACGGAGACAGTCTCCTAGCATCTGTTGTCTGGACCACGGAGACAGTCTCCTAGCATCTGTTGTCTGGACCACGGAGACAGTCTCCTAGCATCTGTTGTCTGGACCACGGAGACAGTCTCCTAGCATCTGGTGTCTGGACCACAGGGGCAGTCTCCTAGCTGCCCTTCAGGGACTTCCTGTGTGCTTTTATAATGGAAGGTCTATTTGTTCTGTGTCCTAGGGGGGGTGTCTGTATTATCCTGTCTCCACGGGTTCTCTACCGGACTGTTACTCACTGCTTTCCCATCTGCCATGAAAACAACTAAAGTCTCAGAAGTTTGTGGAAACTGTTACAAGGCTTGTGGTGGATGTCACACTTTTCTAGCTAGCTCTAGGTCCATCAGCTTCTGAGCTACAAGACCATTCATGAAGCTTGGGCTGGAGGATGCTAAAGGCATGTCTGAGTGTGTCCCAGGATGACAAAGGCATGTCTTAGTGTGTCCCAGGATGACAAAGGCATGCCATAGTGTGTCCCAGGATGACAAAGGCATGTCTTAGTGTGTCCCAGGTTGACAAAGGCATGTCTTAGTGTGCCCCAGGATGCTAAAGGCATGTCTGAGTATGTCCCAGGATGACAAAGGCATGTCTGAGTATGTCCCAGGATGACAAAGGCATGTCAGCGTGCCCCCTGATCTTCTCCAAGCTTTGATGTATATGCACAAACAAGACAATCTAGGAGGTTATTTCTGCTAGTCAGCCCCACGTCCTCACAAGGGTCACCTCATGACCCTCTGTTTTTCTTTTGTTTAAGTCAAGGCTAGGGGAAGTTGGGGTTCCCATGTCCCTTTCTGAGACCACACAATGGCATGGCCTTTCCTCCTCACCCACAGGAGGGTGGCAAGTGGCCACTCAGCCAAGAGACTCTGGCCACTGCTTCTTCCTTAGCAGCTGACTGCGGGGAATACCTGTTCCCTTACACTGGGAATCACTAGATGGCCAGAGCCTGTCCGTAGTTCCAGGGTCACAGCACGTCTGCTATTATTCAATGCTATGCTCACTCGGCAGCCTTACTGGACCTAGGCCTGTCCTCCAAGATGTCTTTTCCAAAAAGAGGGTTCCTGTGATTTCCTCCTTGGGGATAGAAATGGGTTATTACACATTTAGTGGCTCACAGCAGCATGTACTCATGTGTACACACACACACACACACACACACACACACACACACACACGTACACACAAGAGATCAACATTAGGGTACAGGTCTCTAACTAGGACCTGGAGTTCAGTGGTTAGGCCAGGCAGGATGGCTGGCCAGCGATTCCCAGGGATGCTCCTGACTCTGCCTCCCGGTGTGGGGATTATAAACCCAGCCAAACCTGAATTTTTACAAGGGTTTTGAACAGAGCTCATGGCCAATCCTCAGGCTTGTATGACACAGCCTTTGAGGACTAAATATTTCTTAGGGCTCTCTTCCCCATCTTAGTCTTTGCTATTAGAAATGTCACATATGACAGTATATCCTGACCAAATTCCATTCCAGGATCTGGACCTTGTTGTCTTAGTTTTTCCAGGGGAAGAAGTAAGAACATGACTAAATTTTGTGACCAAGCATTGGAATAAGATGGCCTGCTTCTGAGCCAGTTAACTGTGAGAATTAGTTTATTCCAGACGGATTGGTTCAAAGTCAGCGTACTCTTTCACGTCTCAACATTGTGCTACCCCAGAAATATGCTACAGGAAACAGTCAAATAAAAATAACCAGTTGACGTTTGCTTAATGAACCACAGTCTCACACCTGGGGAACACCAACTCCTCCTTAATTTTTTTCTCCTTTAAATTTTATGTAAATCATACCCACATGGTTGATAGACTCACAAATTGCTTTTCACAGTATGTAGAAAACTTGAAGATTCATTTTTAAACTATCATAACAAATAGGCATTTATATGTACTATACTGTTTGCTATGTGTGTGTGTGAGAGAGAGAGAGAATGTGTTCTGTTTGTGTGTGTGTGTGTGTGTGTGAGCATGTATATGGTATGTGATAGTATGTGTAGTATGTGTATGAGATGTTTATGTGAGTCTGTGTGATATGTGGGTTGTGTTTGGTGTGTGTATGTACGTGTGTATGTGTATATACAGTATGTGTGTGTGGTATTTGGTGTGTGTGTGTGTATACAGTGTGTGATAATAAGTGTGTGTGGTATTTGGTGTGTGTGTGTGTTTGTGTATGTGTGCGCGTGTTTGGGTACAAAGGGTACTCTTTAGGTATTTTATGGCTGGGCCTTTGGTAGAGCAGCCTCATCATGTCCAGGAAGGCCATCTCCCTCCCCAGCTGGTGCAGAGTGTTTGGCATGTGGTAGGTACCCTGTGGCCAGCCACTTAAGATAGATAGCATATTGTATGGATCCTTCATGTACCTCATGTTGCCTTAGGCCTGCTGGGTCTAGGAAATCCCTTCCACTTCTGACAATGCCGTTTCCATGGATTCCCCAGGCTTGTCGCTACAGCGAAGTCCGCAGAGGAACGACCGTGAATGAGTGGAGTCTGCCTCTGGTGGCCATTTGCTCATGCTGTTGTTGATGGCCCAGCTGTGTAGAGTGTCAGGGTGGGTCTGTGTGGGGGAGCAGCCAACTCAGCCATCAGTGGGTGGGGTGGACCAGGCACGATAGCAAGCCTCTATAGTCATGCCAAAACCCAAGGCTTGTGTGTCTAACCACCCCTCTCCAGAATGTCTGCGCATAGTTGCCTCATAGTCTTTTTAATAAGAGAGAGAGAGTGTGTGTGTGTGTGTGTGTGTGTGTGTGTGTGTGTGTGCGTGCTCTTGTACACATGTAAGTCAGAAGACAATTTGTGGGAGTCTGTTTCCCCCTTCTGCCATATTTTTTCTCTGAGCCATCTCACTGGCCCAACACAGATTGTCTTTGCTTTGTCTTTCATATTGGTAGAGTTTTTCCAGCCCCTTCTCTATAGGGTTGAGCCCTTTAAAGGCCTTACATGTTAATTTTCTAAGTGATACGTGAATATTATTTTCTTTGTTAAAAAATGAAAACTTCAGAATTACAGCTAAAATCACTTTTAATCACCCTCACACAGCTGCCCCAAGTCCCTGTCCCCAGAGGCCTCTCCATCCAGAGGCCACGGCTGTGACTGCCTGTGTGTCTCTTGCTAACTCTTTTCTTAGTAGATGGAAAAACCAAGGGGAGGATATTGCCCTCGAGCCCCCTCCACCCAAACATCATTTTATGTTGCCACATCGTCTCTACCTATCATTCTGTAATGTCTTATTCAGAGACCAGCTCTAAGTGGAACCCTTATCTGCCTCTCTCCTCCTTATCCCCTTCATCCCTTCTCTCCTTCCCTTCTTCCTCGTCATTCTTTCTCTCTCTGTCCTTGCTTTGAGATCCCAGGTTGGCTGCAAAGTCTCAACCCTCCTGGGTTAGCCTCCCAAGTGCTGATGCTGAGAATGTGCTCAACCTGCTCGGAGATCTTTCAGTGGCATGGAGATACATTCATACACATATGCACACACACACACACGCACGCACGCACGCACGCACGCATGCATGCACGCACGTACGCACATGCATGTCTAGTTATTTACCATAAACCACTGTTCAGCAGTGCTATTTTGTCAGTTGCATTCATGAAAGATTTGGGGATTTCATTAATCTGTGATTCTTTTTATAAAAGAAGGCTGCAGAATTTCACTCTTTGTTTCTCGCTTCAGGTCTCAGAAGGCTGAGCTTCACAATGAAGGCTACATCTTGGAACTGGATGACTGCTCGTCCTTAGAACACCTGGCAGCCCAGAAGCTCATCCCAGAGTTCATTAAGAAGGTGAGTACCACAACGAGAGAAGAGGAAAGGGCTCTCAGAGCATCCTCATAAGTGGGAAGACTGGAGAGCAGGAAGAGGGGACAGCCACATCACAGAGGACAGCTGGGGATGGCTCTTCTGCCCAGGCTGGGGCGATCTCCTGCCTTGTCTTGTAGGGCTGGAGTGGAATCCCAGCTCTCAGCAGAGACTGCTGAAGGGACACAGTGAAGTAGTGCGGTTGTCCTTTAAGGGTGTTTGTTTTCTTCTATCATTTTGCCTTCAACATTTGTTGAACATTCAGTCTCCCAGGCTCTGCGATCAACCATTCACACTGGAATGAGCTAGGTCAGATGAGCTCTAAGATTCAGATCCAGCATCCTGGGGGTTTCTACTCTAGTAAAATATAGATGATTATTTAGAAGTGGAGGTGGTTTTGTCTGTGTTTACACATGTGTAGATGCAAGAACAATGTTTTTCTGAATTATGTAAATGTCATATATCAGTAGGGCCATCTTCTTTACAAATAATACCCTAATAAATTTGAATAAGGGCATCCTAGAGGCTGAGATCACTTGATGACCTGAAGCATGGGGGACATGTGATTGCCACACAGTTGCTTGGGGTAACTGAGGGGTGTGTGGTGAAGTTGTCAGAGAGAGAGGCTCTATATGCCATCTCCAGTGTGCTCATTTGAAAGCTAATCATAGGTGCCTTGGCTCTAACCAGACCAGACCACTCTGGGGTAGACCCATTGCATCAGATGTCCAGGAAGCAGTACCCTGCTTTGTGGGATGCTTAGCTACTGTGTGTCCTCAATGCAACATCTGTAACATCTGTATAGAGTCTAAGTCCTGGAGGGCATCAGCCATATTTCATCTAATTTTTAATTTCCCCTCTTCTAGCATTCTTTCTGCCCACTCATTATAAAAGTATGTGGGTGTATAAGACCACTGTCTAAGCATTTATTCAATGATTGGTTATAATTGACACCTGCTCATTCTGTATGTTGAATACAATAAAAACCCTGGACCTTGTTGATAGTTAATGACTCCTGGGGGGAGAGGGAGCCGGATTTTTGTTTTTGTTGTTGCTCTTTGCCATTCATGTAGACTGACTTGAAGGCATGCTCTGGCTCCCATGGCTGGCCGTCATTACTGGAGATCTATGTCATTACTTATGCCAAGTCTATTTGTCTTCAGATAAGATGGTAATTGGCCCGTTTGTCCTTAGCCTGCTGTGTGACGTAAGCTCATAGCTTCTGTGCATATTAGAGTCAAGTTTAAACCAAGCAGATTGTCCCCTTTAAGAACAATGTCTCAACATTATTTTCCCACCAAATGTTTTAAATTAGTGGAAGCTTTGGCTAGAAAATGTGACTGGGGGGGACTAGACTCTAGGAAAATGAAGTCATATTCTCTGTATCACATAGAAGTTTCTGAGGGCTGTCTTCTTCCCGTAGTGGTCCTTGTACGGGACTCAAGAGAGCTGTGTAAAGATGACCCTTCCCTTCCATGGCCCCTTGAAGTTGTCTGAGTGCTTTTCTGGTGTGCTTAAATCTGGGTTGTTGCATTCCGTTTCCCCCTCTCACATCCTGCAGCGCGCCAGCCAACTGGCTAGTACACACATGATTAACTGTGGACCACAGAGTCTGGAGTGGCTTAGCAAGACCGTTTCCAAGGCCCAGAGCCAAGTGGGCAAAGGAGACTGTGGGAATGACAGGGTCCCCTGAGCGCCCTTCCCAGGGGTACATCCGGGCTGTCTGTGAGGCCCTCTGACAGACACATCCTGTTCCCAAAGGAGGTCAAGCCTTACACGAAGGACCTGAGTGTCCATTCATAAGAACGTTCAGACCTCGTTACCCTCTCTGGACCTTTTGGGAGAACGAGAGGAGCAGGGGCCAGGATGGCACCCAAAATATTGGCCAGCTTGAAAGTGGCGGCTCGGGAGGCTGGGGCCGGTGCTGCAGCTTCCTCTTGTCCTAAGTGAGCAGTGCTTCACAAGTGTACACAAGTGTTGCTGGCATACGTGCATAAATGAGCATTGAGTGTGCGCAGCTCTTTGAAGCCTTCGGGGTCATGTCCTCTGATCCAGTCCCTGAGCTGGCAGGGTGGTGGCCTTGCCTGGACCTGGGACTGCTGGAAGGTGTCACAGAGGAGCCAGGCGCCCTTGGGAAAGCTCTTGACAGGACTGCTGTTCCTGTGGGGACAAGAGTGTGAAAAGCTCCAAGGCCAGGTCCTGCCTCCAGCATGGGGTGGATGCCCAGGGACCAGGTTCTCTCCTTCACGGAGAAGGACCTTTTGATGACATGGAAAAGACTTTCCAGTTCAGTCAGGTTTCTGATGAGGATTCTGGGAATGGCAGGGAGCCTCAGAGCAGGAGTAGACAAACAGCTGGATGTAGTGCTGGGTCACAGCGGATCTGGAATTCCAGCGCCCAGGAGGCAAAGGCAGGACGTTCACCGTGAGGCTGTCTCAGTGGTAGAGCATTTGCCCAGCATGTGCAAGACCCTGGACCTGGCTCCCGGCACCACAAGAAGAGAGAGAGAGAGACCAGTGTCCCACCTCCTCTCTCTCTCTCTCTCTCTCTCTCTCTCTCTCTCTCTCTCTCTCTCTCTCTCTCCCTCACAGCCCATTTCTGTGGATCCATAGCTTTAAGAGGTAGACAGGTGTGGCCGTTATTCCCAGCTTCCCTGGGTAAGAGCTCCTTCATCGTGCCTGTAGGAGCTGCCACTTTCCTTTCCCTGAGCAGGTGACTTTCCGTCAGACTTACTGTCTGCTGAGGGAGCCTGAGGCTTCCAGGACCATTCATGAACTAGGCATGTGTTGCACTGAGTAAAAACAAAACTGTGGGAGAGACCAGGGCAGCCTGGGCTCTGCCCAGTGGAAGAGAACACGTGATCAGACATTCATTGGACTACTTTTGACAAAGGACCCTGCCAGTGCCTTGCTCAGGGGAAAACCTGACAGTTTTGAAGATCTGGGCAACCCAGGACTGGCGCTTTGCCTGTGGGAAAGAGGTGACTCAGTATTTACTTCCTAGGGGCTTGTTGAATATTCAGAGTCTCCTCCTACAAGCAAAGCCAGAGTCGAATTGTATTTTCTTAAAGACTTATTTTATGTGTCTGTGCCTGTGCACTGTGTGTATGCCCTGAATGGCCAGATAAGGTGTCTGGCCTCTTGGAACTAGAGTTCCAGGTAATTGTGAGCTGCCAGATGTGAGACCTGGAATTCTCTTATGGTTTTTGTTCTCAACTTGACACAAACCTAGAGACACCCAGGAAGAGGGAACCTCAGTTGAGGAATTTTCTAGATCAGGTTAGTCTGTGGCCCTGTCTGTGAGGAATTTTCTTAGTTGTTAATTGATGTAGGAGGGACGAGCCCATGATTGGCAGTGCCATCCCTAGGCAGGTGGCCTGGGCTGTATAAAATATAGTTGAACAAGCCAGAGGATGCCACCCAGTAAGCAGATTTGTCCTATGGTTCCCATGTCTGCTCATAGTTGAGTTCGGTCTTGACATCCTTCAATAATGAACTATAATCAGGACATGTAGGCCAAATAAACACATGCCTCCCCAAGCTGTTTTTGGTCATGGTGTGTGTCACAGCAACAGAAAGTAAACAAAACAAAAATCAATTCCGGTCCGGGTAAAAAGCAGCAGGGACTCCTAAGCACCCAGCCTCCTGTCCAGGTTGGAGTCCGACTTTAACTGGCACATGAGTGAACAAGTTCTGTTAGAAAGGCTTCCCTGCCCTGACCGCACTCCGTTTTGTCCTCAAACCACGAGAACTGTGGCAAACTGGGGGGGGGGGTTCAGAGTTTACAGGAAGAGAGAGAGAGAGAAATGGAATCCTTTCCCACCCAGCCTCCTCTGTGGCTCTGACCTCCTGCTATTTTTATTGGCCGTGACTTCCCTGTTCTGTCCAGAGGTCACTGTAGTCCCTTGGTACCCACAGGAGGGGAGGAGGTCATGAGCTTGCTCATTCCTCCAGAAGGGGATCCATCCCCATCTTCCTGTGCATGGTGCAGTATTGGCGAGTCCGAGCTCACCCTGTCTCCTTGGGGGCCTACTGGATGGCAGTGGAGGAGTCCTGGGGTTCGCTCTCATCCCACAGAGCCTGCAGTCTGACTGGGGACACCGTGTCAGAAAGAGCGAGAGGTGAGGGCAAAGCAGGGAGGGAGAGGGGAGTCTTTCTGGAGAGGTCAGATTCTCTGGGACCAGCCCAGACAACAGAGAATGACATCTGTGCTGCCACGGATCCGTACATCCTGGTTTCTGCTGAACAGTCATGAGCAGCAGGCGCCCAGTGTGAGCCATTGCCTCTGCAGACGCACATTGGCTCTTCCAGTTTTGAAGCCCGCCACTCCCTAGGGTCTCTGGCGAGCAATGGCGTTTACTCCCTCGGGGGTCTGCCCAGTAGAAATGACGGCGGAGCCCCCTATTTTTAAGTCTCTAATAGCCTTGTTAAAAAAAAAAGTGTGGGCCAGCAAGATGTCTCAGTGGGTAAAGGTGCTTGTCGCAAAGCCGGATGACCTGAGTTTGATCCCTTGGCGTTCACACTCTGGCTGTGGTGTGAGCGTGTGTGTGCATTCACTCACATGCACGATAAATGCTAAGAGTGAGATTCTTTTTTATTTTTTATATTTATTTTATTATAAATCATCTTATTATATATCAATCCCAGTCCCTGCTTCCTTCCTTCCTACCATGCCTGCCCCTGATCCCCCATCCCATCCCCCACCCAGTCCCCAGGGAGGGTGAGGCCTTCCAGGAGGGATCATCAAAATCTGTGAAGTCATTTGGAGTAGGGATCCCATCCCCCACCCAGTCCCCAGGGAGGGTGAGGCCTTCCAGGAGGGATCATCAAAATCTGTGAAGTCATTTGGAGTAGGGATCCCATCCCCCACCCAGTCCCCAGGGAGGGTGATGCCTTCCAGGAGGGATCATCAAAATCTGTGAAGTCATTTGGAGTAGGGACTACCCCCTCCCTCCTGCCTCTAGACTAAGGGAGTATCCCTCCATG